CTTGGTTATTTTGGCAGAACTAGGACCAGGACGGGTCTTCTGACTCATGTTCCCGGCAGCCTGTCCCGTGTTCTTTGTACTAAAATGTCCTTTACAATAAAAATAACATCCTAATGTAACCATTTCCTTTATTAGGTCTTTGGGCCAGATTTAAAAGACAGCATTGATTACATTTAATTTAATCAGTTTTTTATTGGTCTCTGATGGTTCAAGCCCTTTCCCTTTTTCTTCCAAGCAAAATAAATGGTTAAAAGGTAGGTTGTAGGAAAGAGAAAAATTAAGTGTTTTATAACACCCACCTTGCATAATCAACAAGTAATGGAGCGATGGTATCATTATTGTTTTGTTTTGTTTATAGTGTTTTTGAAACCCATTCACTCAAGTTTTGAGTTAAAGGAAAAAACATGACCGTGGAAGATGCAGCCAAATTGTGTTTGTTTCATCTCTCCTGAGCCTACTCATGCCTTGACTATTTCCAGTTTACAAATATTGGGTAAGGGAATGGGGAAGTAGCGTGTTTGGGTTTGGGGAATGTTACTTTAATAGAAGATGACTCTTAAGAGAGTGTATATGATCAGTAGTGTGAAATGGGGACAGGATGGTGGAAAGATCAGAGTTTGCTCCTGAAGACTCAGCTTTCGATTCAAGCCAGTAGCCATGGTCTCAGGGTCAGGAGAGAGCATCTTTATCCTCATGATATCCCAGGATCAATGTTTTTCTTTCTTGAAGTTGACTTTGAGCTTGAAGGATGCTTTTTCCTGGAGTACTCCTCTGTTTTGGAAGTGCATCTGAAGAACAGGGCACACAGGTGTCAAGATCCCCACGGTAGTGATCCTGGAGCTCGACACTTCTCTGGCTTCATTGTCACTGTGGTGATCATTTAATAGAGGGGATTCTTCAAGGCCTATAGTCGGAGTCACCTTAACCCAGGGGTGAATCACACCAATGGTCAGGAATAAGAAATACCTAGAAATGTTTTGATTTATTTGGGAACATTTTAGAAATCTTTATCTTGAGCTATAACTGTCTTAGGATTCTATAAGGAACCCAGAAAATAAAGGTTCTCTAATTTTCTGCCTAGAGAACTCTCCCACTTTGAGGGAAGCACTAACATAATTTAAGAATCTACAAAATATGTCAGTCTCTGTCTTAACATAAATATGTAAGAAGTAAGTGTATATTTTAACATTTTTGGAGGCCGAAATTCTTCATGATATGGTAGGTTTGGCAGTTTTTGTGAATACTTTTACATGTTAAGTTTCTGAAGAGATGGTTTTTATTTGGGCACACATGAGTGGTGAAATTTAGTTACCCACCTAGCTTTTTCTTTCAAGTATTCTAAATATAATGGCCTGACACTTGTAATCTGGACAATGCATTTCCTTCCAAATTTCTCCCAGATACTTTAAAAATATCACTTTTTAGGAGCTTAATTCAATATAATAGAGGGTTAGTGTTTCACACTTAAAAAATAAATCAGCAAGGAGCCACTGATATGACTCTATCCTCTATAAAGTGAGCTATTATAATTTTTAAGTCAGTATCTATTCGTACATTTTTATTCATTTTGATTTTTGGAATGCAGACATCTTTTAAATGTTTTATTATGGATGACTTTCATCATACACCAAAGTTAAAAGAATAATACAGTGAAATCCCATGTACCCATCATTCAGCTTCAACAGTTATCTACATAGGCTAATCTTATTTCATCAATATACCTTACTTCCCCCCCAAAACATAGATTGTTATAAAGAAAATTCTAAACATTGTAGTACTTCATTTATAAATAATTTACAGTGTAACTCTAAGAGATTTAGAAAAAATAAAATTATATCATCACAACTAAAAATACAGTAATCATAGAATCATCTATTTTTTAGTTAGTGTTCAGATTCTCTGTCTCATACTTTTCTTTTAATAGTTGGATTGTTTAAAACAGGATCCAAACAAGGTCTGCACATTGCATTTAACTCGTACATCTTCAGAGTCTCTTTTAATCTAGAACAGTTCCCTCTTTTTCTTGCCATTTGCTGGTTGAAGACATTGTTGTTTGTTTTTCCTGTAGACTTTCATATATCCCTGCTGTTGTTTGACACATTTCTCTGTCCCTTGTATTTTGTGCAATAGGAGACAGCATGCTTTTAATTTGAGAACATTCCTACCACGTCATTGTGTTGAATCTAATTTGTAACATATATGTGAACACTNGTTGTTTGTTTTTCCTGTAGAGTTTCATATATCCCTGCTGTTGTTTGACACATTTCTCTGTCCCTTGTATTTTGTGCAATAGGAGACAGCATGCTTTTAATTTGAGAACATTCCTACCACGTCATTGTGTTGAATCTAATTTGTAACATATATGTGAACACTTGCTGAATTAATAGTGTCTCTTCTTTAAGTATTGCTAACCCTGCTTTAATGATGGTATAAACACCAATGGGACTCCAATCGATAAAAGTCTCATCTTGACTATTTAGGTAAAAGTCAGGAATTTTGCAAGTGGGAAGGGAATTTGAATGACCCAGATGTTTTCTGAGGTCGCTTCTGCTTTCTGTCTTCCCTGCCCTGCCTTCCTCACTGGCTGAAGAGAGTTATCGCAGGAAACATGCAGCCAAATTCCTTGGATAGTCTAAAGTTCACACAGACAATCTGTGTTCCAGGGACTAGCACACATTTCTTTTAAATCCCTATAATTGATGTTTTACCCTCTTCACTAAGAGTCCTCTATGAGTCTTAAGAATTCCTGATATAAAACAATCTAGACTAATTTACAAGTAGCCTCTGATCACTGGAGATAGCCATCCTCGTTCAATGCGCTGTACACCTGAAACTAATATAAAATAGTGTTGAATGTCAGCTGTCATTGAAAAGTAAAATTTTTTTTTAAAGGTAACAAAATATAAAAATTAAGTTTCAAGGAAGCTTAATTCATTTTTTAAAATAAATTATAAAACTGGAAAAAAAGATGCTCGTTCCTCGTTTGAAGCATTGCGGTCCATTGTGATTACTTTTAGGAACCTTTGACTACCATCTGGAGTGCTTTTTTTTTATCTTTTACAAAGCTTAGACTTCAATACAGCTAGAGATGAAAGAAGGGAACGGTAGCGTGGGGTTAGGCTCCTTTATTGTGATAGGAACAAGCTGAAACTTTTCTTCTTACTCGCTGCTCCCATCTGCATTAAAAGTTCTCGTTACTCCCCGTCCCTCCCCGCTCCCTTCTGTGCTCCTTTCCTTTCTGTAGCATCATCTGATACTTTTTTTTCTTTCCTTAAGGGTTTCCCTTACCTCTTCTTTTACATGTTTTCAGAATGTAATAAAGTAGAAGTTCAAAAGCAAAACCAAAAGGAAACAAAGAAACCTGTGTAATCAGTGTCCTGAGACGACATATCAAGGTGAGAGTGGCCCTCGGCTTTCTCCCGGCCCTGCTGTGCGTCACCTGCACACACCCGGCAGATTCTGAGGATGCCCCAAACTGCCTGGGTCCTGAAGAGCCGCCCCCCCCACCCCCCCGGCAGCCACACAAAGCCTTTGTGCATCTTGGCCTGCTGTGGGCATGTGGGCATGTGGGCAGCGTGTGTCTGTCTCTCTGTGTCTGTCTGTGAGCATGTGTGTGGGTGTCTACACACTGTAAGATTTACAGCCCCCTGTTGTAATAGGCTCAATCTGCAAGAATAAAACAGCCATTATTTTGCTATTGAAAATACGTACATTTATTTCTGTGGAACTGCTTTTTGGGGAACTTTTTGAGAGACGAAAATATCTTTCTTGGAGATTGTCAACTTATCTATGAGTCTCTAGTGGATAATAATTATTTTATTCAAACAAGCAGATCTTTAAATGACAAAGAACATGGTACAAAGGAGGAGGGGTGGAACCCATTTGCTGCTATGTTTATTTGCAAAAAGAATGAGAAGAGTATTATGTCCACTAACAGAACTTTTTTTCCCTCTGCACTGGGATATAAAATCTTTTTTTTTTTAACTATTATTAACCCTTATTAGATCTTTCTACAATACTACTACAGTATTTTCATAATGAACTCAACTTTTAAAAAAAAATTCTTCATTACATCTTTATTGTTGAAAGTATTACAGAGTCCTTTCTTCCCCCGTCGACCCCTCCACCCCGCATCCGCCCCACCCCGGGCCCTCCCCACACTGCGGACTGTGCCCCTGGGTTATGCATATGTGCGTGTAAATTCTTCCATTAATCTCCAGGGTGGAGAACGCATTAAGGGAACAGAGTTTAGGAATCTGGAAGAGGGAGTGGAGGGGAAGCTCTGTGGAGATGGAGGCTGGGAAGGGAAGGCCCAGGCTTGGGGGTGCTTGCAGAAGCTGTGTGGGAGGTGAGATTTGGAGGAGAAGGGATCTGGAAATCCTCGCCCCCAGGAGGTGTTTGCCAGTGGGTGTGGGGCTCTGTGGAGCGGGGAGGCTTGTTTGCAGAGGTGCAGGATGCTGAGGAGGCTTTCGTGGAGAAAGGAAATATTTGTGAAAAAGGAAAGTATGTTTGCAAAGGGAGAGTTGAGCAGACTAGGGGTTTACTAAGATGGGCTGGTGTTTGGATAATGGAGGAGGGGGCGATAGGCTGCCTTCGGATTTCTGAAGCGAGAATCTCTCCTGGGAAGGAAGCGGTTGGTCCTGAGGCTTCTCATTGGCCCTGTTCTTCATCCTGTTTTCAGGTTGGGATTAATGGGAAAAGAGGGAGCTTTTTGTGTTCATTGTCCTCCATGCTTAAGCTTGAAGTTTGAGCCTGAAACAGGTTTCTCAGTGTTTCCCTTTTAGTCCTAGAAAAGCTTCCCCTCGGGCCCCATCTGCTGCCATTGGTCTCCACAGAAATGCCCGCCAGCGTTTATGTAAAGAACGGCGCTGCTTCGGAGGGACTGTTCTAAGCTGGTGTCTGAATTCAATTACATGTCATCAGTACATGCTTTATTTATAACAGAGCCTAGCGTAAACATCAGTGCTGAAAGAGACCAGCCTGTGGACCACCAGTGTTCTGGGAGAGCTGTGCACCCCAGGCAGCAGCCCCTGTGTGCGACACGCACACCCCCAGAGCCAGCACAGTCAGCTCTAAGGGCCGTCCCGTAGGACACAGGTAGGAGGCAAGCTCTGCTATAAAGTGACATTTTTAACCTATCACTTCCTGATTTGTTTTTTAGATTATTTTATCCCTGAATTTGCTTCTGTCATCTGCATATCCCTGCCTTTCCTCAGCAATATAAAATGATTTCCACTCTTCTACCACTTGTTATTGCAGTCTTTCTTTCATTAATGCCTGCTGTATTAGGTGATCTAGGACGTGTGTGTACATTGCAACATACAATGACAAGCAATGTGTTGTATAATTCAAGACTCTCCAAACTCTCTTCGTATAAATTACCTGGAAAACTGCATAGGCCAGGCTTGAAGTGTCTCTCCTCCAACACAACACTACACAACACAACACAGCAAACACTTCATTTTAATTTTTTTTTTTTATCTTTGCCCCTGGGCGTGTTTTCATATCTTTGAAACCTGGATCACCCAGGCCCCAGCATTCCCAGCGCTGTACCTGCACTGTTGGTGACTTGGAGTTTGAATGGGATCCGCTTCACTGCGTTGTTATTTGGTATAAACGGAGCTGAAAACTATATATTTTTAAAAGAATGCCAGGATTGCATCAAAGAGTAAAGAATCTAGCAAGATACTTTTAAATATGATCCTTGAGATTAGTTTATGAAGTGACTTTCTTCCCCAGGGAAAAAGTCCTGGGACTTTCTGTGGTATCTTCCTGAGATCTCTTCCTGACTCCTGGCGCTTTCTAGCTGACCATGAGATGATGATAGATTTCAGGTGATAGAATAACAAGAACTCTGGGGGGATTAAATTTACGATTGGAAAGTAAGTCCAAAGGTTTCAACACTTCAACTTCTTTCCTGTTTAGACTTCCCAGTGTTGTCTTTTCTCTCACGTGGGCACCAGATGCCTTCTCCGGGCCATTCTGTGGCTATGCCTGCAATCTATGCAGCCATGAAAGCCCATGGGACTGTTTTGCTTCCACAGTAACATAATGCAGTGATTTTATAATTTCCCTGGGACTTTTTTGTTTACATTAAATGTACAGGGAATCCAAAATAAACACACCCGTATAGAAACTGTGGAGTCTTCCTCGCCTCCTCTCTTACACATGTTAACACAGACCTCTCCTGCACCAGCCCCCTCCTGTTTGTTACTTGGGCAACACGTCTTGCAGTGTTCTTCTCACCCCCCTAACATCCCAGCTTCTCCTTTCTTCTCCTAAACTCAGCTGCAGTCTCCAATGCATTCTGTCTGCAGAGCTCCCTTTTTGCTGGGGTGGGAGTTAAACCCAGCCTCTTCCGTTTTGTATCATCTGCCCTCCTGCCGCCCCTCCCCTCCCCTCGCCCACACCTTCATCTTCATTCTAGGTAGGTTATGTGGTCATCCACGTAAGACTGTCCAAACCTCTAAAGGACTTTTATAAAAATTTACTTTAGCCAAACAGAGGATTCACCTGGAAGCAAGGCCTCAACAGATGGGGCGAGGGGTGGGGAATGCTTCCTAGAACAGCAGTTTGCAGCTTCTTTTATGCATTTGGAGTAAGGGGGGAACATAAGGAGCGTTAAGTGAAGGTGGGGATTGGATTACAGAAGAGTTAAGATTATATGCTTTTTTGAGGGTGGATTTGCTGCTGAGGCTTGGAAAAGAGGCATTTCGAAGGTTTATTAACCTAGATGCATAGAAACATTGGACAGGCCTTGCTTACGGCAAAGATAAACCTTTTACTAAAGAGGTTATTCGCCTGGAGCTTGACTACCCACCATGACCTGCCCATTAGGGAATTTATGATCAGATCACCCAGTGAGGTGACTGTCCATAAAACCCCTTTTTTGCCCACACTGTTCTACATTCTCCTATACTTTTCCCACTTCTGGATGCCCACTCAAGTGATCTCACCGGCAATGAAAAGAATACTCCAGAAGTAGGGAAGGAAAGAGGTGGCAACAGTCATTCTTGTCACTCCTGGAGTCAGAAATGCCACCCGTGTGGCAGATTCTCCACCTTTTGAGTTGAGTTGATTTGTGGGATTAAGAGATAGCAAGCTGAGAAAAGTATACATATGTACTCGGCTATGGCAGGTAGACTAAGTTTTAGGAAAATGAATGAATGCCAGATTTGTCTTTGATGATAAACCTTCAAATGGACAAGTTTTCACACATTCCTAACAGCCAATAAGGTTGAACTGAAACCTGGGATGTCAAACATGAATATCCCTTTAAATAAATAGTCTCTGGAATGTCCTTCCATCCAAATCATCTGTAACTTTCTTCTACAAATATGTGTGGTGGAGAAATGGTGCATGGCTGTTTCTCAGATGTGGTTTATTATTTGCAAATGCTCTGCTTGTCTCTCCCTAGGTCTGTAAAGCAGATCTTCTTCCAGCCAGTATTATTTCAGATATTTTGGTATTATGTTTTGTTTGCCCAACCAAACTACTTCAGTAATTAAGTAACTTTTAGTTTCTAAAAGTGTATGTGAGGTGGAGAGAGGAACCAGAGTTGCCACCCTGCAGGGTAGTAAGAAACCTGTAGTGGTTCCATACTCTACAATTTTATTGGCCCAAAATAAAGAGGAAACAGTTTGGTAGTATTTCATTTGGGTGATTAAGTAGCATTTGCAGCTGCAGACAGGTTGAAATATATTAATATGTTTTGTCATCTAAAATGACATCAAAGTTGGCCAGAATGGCCCATTGGTTGAGTGTTGTCCTGTGCATCAAAAGGTTGCTGGTTCAGGCACTGATTGGGGCACATACAGAAGGCAACCGATCAACGTTTCTCTCTCTCCCTCTCTTTCTCTCTCTATCTCTATTTCTATCTCTGTCTCTATATCTCTCTCTCTACCTCTGTCTCTATCCTTTCCTCTCTCTAAGCATGTCCCCAGGTGAGGGTTAAAAAAAAAATGACATCAACATTTTATGTTTCTGAGTCAAAAATAAAACTTAAGTATCCTTTTTGACATGAGGTGTTAAACCCTTCAACTCTACTGTTAGAGTAAATATTTAAAATGCAAAGTTTGGACTTCGTGCTTAGCTTTGAATTCTATTTAATAACATCTGCTCTGCCTTACTTTCTGGATTGCTGTTTCTGCACATTGTGGAAATACCTTTTCTATCTAACTTAGTTCTGTTTCCCATTTTACATACATTGTTGTAAAACCAAAGTCTTCCCCACTAACTGGCTTCAATTATTTTCTTGTTTATTCTAACACCTTACTTACGTATTTCATTTTGTATCATTGTCTAAAACATCCTAAATGGTTGGAGGATGTTGTCTAATTTAAATTCCTCTTAGGGCAGGCATGTGCCTTGGATCCTGGACAGTTTATCTTACACAGTGGTGGAGATGTGAAAGGATTAACTATCAGAGGTAGATACATGGTTATTAAATACTGTTTATCCCAAGAGTGTTACATCCTAGATTTTTAAAGACCATGATATAGAAGATAACTGTTGCTGTTTTCCTGCACAATTTTTGTCTGTCAGAGACGGTGTTTGCTGGATGTACCAGTAGTCTGCCTCAGATGGGCTTGGGATTTAGTTTATGCCCTTAAAATCACATTTTAGGCATGGATGTAGCTTTATGCTATTCATTGGATATAATAGCCTTTCCTTCAATAGACTCAACTTCATTGTCATTTATTTCTACCGTAACTTCCCCAGACTACCACTGTCACTGGGTTAGCCTCCCTCCGTGCCCCTTTACCAATCTGTCAGTCGGTCCTTTATTGAGGTACGTGTCATCCTGTTACAGCATTTGTTCATATGTGTGTCTTTCCCTTTGGACTGTAAGCTCTGTAAGGCAGGAAAGGATGTCTTTGACCACACACTTGCCAGTTCCTAGCTCAAAGCCTGGTTTATGGTAGGCACTTAATTGAGATTAACGCCTTCCTGGTAACAACTCCCAAATCTCTGCGGCTTAAACTGCTCTAGGGTTGGCAAGGGCCCTGATCCATGGTGCCCTCATTGAAGGGTGTAGGCCAGCGGAGCCTCCACAGACTCATATCTGATGGCTCAGAGCAAGGGGCATTGTCCCGGGGATGATGCAGAGCAGCATTGCTATGTTTGTGGGAGGAGGAGAACGGGAATATTAGTGGGCAACGCTAAGGCCTGCTAAGCCAGTGTCTGGGATGTCGTAGGCACTTAATACCTACTTAATGAAGTACCTCAAAATGCCTATTGAGATTTAAAATTTTTTTCTATACAATAAGTAGAACTGCTTGAAACCCTGAAATATCCTAGTTACTACTTTAAAAAAATATATGAGACTCGGCCGGGCGTAGCTTAGCGGTTGAGCGTCAACCTAGGATCCAGGCGATCAGGGTTCGATTCCCCGTCAGGGCACATGCCCGGGTTGCGGGCTGCAGCCGATCAATGACTCTCTCATCATTGATGTTTCTATCTCTCTCTCTCCCTCTCCTTTCCTCTCTCTGAAATCAATAAAGATATATTTAAAATACATATATATATATATGAGGATACTAATATTATTGTCAACTACGATCAGCAAACATCTGGAGACTTTTTTTAATAACTACTCTGTTCGCTTTATTCATGTTACGGAAGGTGTTATATTTGATTTTGTAGGTTTTCAGATGCATAAATGGGTAAATTTACATAATTAACATTTTTACCTGAGTCATTTAGGAGAGTTCAGAAAAAATGTGGAAGTCTTCGAATATTTGCATATTAAGTTAGTCTAATCAAAAAGTTCTTTAAAATAAACTATTTTGGGGGAGAGCTAATATCTGGCTCAAAAATTGGTCAGGAACTTAGGAAAAATGAGTCTAATTAACTTGATGTGTCGCGCTCTAGATTGTATTATAGTATTTTACAATAAGTGGGAGTTTTTCTTATTGTTAAAGTAACCCAGATACATTGTTTAAAACGTGGAAAAATACAAACTACTATGAGGAAAGTGAATTAAAAGTCACCCCCCAGATAAAACCACTGCTAACTTTTCGGCGCGATTCCAGCCCGTGGTTATTCTTGTTGCAGGAGAAGAGGCACAGAGACAAGGCAATGGAAGGTATTGGCTTGTATGTAAGAGGGAGATAGCAGTGGAAATGGTAAGAAGAGATCAGATGAGAATATGTTTTAAGGACAGTGCTGGTAGGATTAGTTGATGGATAAAATGAGAAAGATGATAGAAAAGTGATAGAGGAAAGGGAGATAGTGAAGGAGGGAGTCTGCTCACCCCTTATAATAAATAATGCTGTGCTATCCTCAGTATCCACCTATTTTGTTTCCTCCATTGAAAAATATTTAACTTGAGGGAACTGGCCGAGGTTTCCTGGACTTTCAGTATGGCAAGCCAAGCAGAGATGAAGCTAGTTGGTAACAGGAGGGACCAAGCCTGAAGGCCGTCTTGGTTTCAGTCCTCTAAGGGGGCATGGTGGGGTACGTCTCAGACCAGGCTGCTGTTGCTTTCAAGGCCAGAATGGTGGTAGTAGACAGTTGCTGAGAGGGACATTTGTCTTGGGGGCAGAGATGGCACTGTTCCTGAGAAATAACATACCTGGCAAGAGCCAAATGGCAGGGCCAGATTCCAATTGGGAGGCAATTCTACAGGAGAATTCCAATTTTTTAATTTTTTTTTTTTTTGAGGACACTTCAAAAGATAATCATGCTTTTATCCATCAGGACAGGGCTTTGGGTTGGAAGATAAGGCAGAGCTTGTTGGGGGAAGCTGCAGCTTTATGGGGTCATGGGTACTAAGCCCCCCACTAGGATTTAAGCAGCCCGACTGTTTCTTGGCTCTACTCCGTGGACAAGAAGCAGTGCCTTATTAGGCTGCCTGAATTTGCCCAGGACGTCTGTGAGGCCGAGCAGGCAAGGCGAAGTTCCTTCAGTCTATGGCTGGGAGGGAGGAGCGGGGAAGGCCAGGGTGAAATTTAAAACTTGGGTTCATTGAGTGTCTCACCTATGGGACAGTGGGAGTCAGGAGAGGTCGGAGATAAGACAGAAATAAGAGACATAACCTTCTTAATCTCTCTTCCTTAATCTTGTGGCCTAATTATGAAAACATACACACTATGAAACTGATTACTGACCATAAGCGACAGTATTTAGATAGACACCAGATATGTAATACCTAGCGTCTGAGGTGCCTGAGGACTTGGAGGACCATCTTGGTTGGCAGTGCACGAGTTCAGCGAGAATGTCTGTTTCCACTTTAACGATGATCTAAAGATAATCTTTTTATCAGTTAGATGTTTAAGCCTTCTCATTTGCAGTGATAATTTGCAATGAAAACATAGTTTCAGCCCGGCCAGACTTGGCTCAGGGGTTGAGCGTCAACCTAGGATCCAGGCGATCGGGGTTCGATTCCCGGTCAGGGCACATGCCTGGGTTGCGGGCTCGATCAATGACTTGCTCATCATTGATGTTTCTATCTCTCTCTCTCCTTCTCCTTTCCTCTCTCTGAAATCAATAAAGATATATTTTTTTAAAAAACAACAACATTGTTTCATAGACTAAAACTTTAGTTTCTTAAATTAATATTATTCAAGCTAGATTCCAAAAATATCTGTATGGGTGCATACATTTTTTAAAAAATTGTAATCATGGAAGACAGAATCCTAATCTGAGTCTTGAGGAATGAGTGGGCTCAAGTAGGTGCTAAAGAGGGAGAAGGGTATTTCTGAGAGAGGAGGGACTTTGAGATCAAGGATGCACATGGTTCCTTTGGGGTACCCGGGAATTTGAAGGATATGTGTTTCAGGTTTTTAAATACTCCGTCCACCCTGTCCCTGATACCGGGGTAATTTGGGGAACACTCTTTTCTCTCTTTCCTCTATCGCTTCTCTTTTCCTGATGGGTACAGGAGCTGTATTAAGTCTTTTTGTTGAGCAGGTTTGTTGAAAGCCCTCTTGAAGAACCGTCTTCTAACCTCGATGTTTTTGATCAGTGTCTAACATAAAATCTTCTTTCTCTGACACAGTGTGAATTATGTTTCCTCAGGACTTTACTTCTGAGCAGTTAATGATTCTAGCAGAGACATGTAAAGGAAGGNTTGGCAGTGCACGAGTTCAGCGAGAATGTCTGTTTCCACTTTAACGATGATCTAAAGATAATCTTTTTATCAGTTAGATGTTTAAGCCTTCTCATTTGCAGTGATAATTTGCAATGAAAACATAGTTTCAGCCCGGCCAGACTTGGCTCAGGGGTTGAGCGTCAACCTAGGATCCAGGCGATCGGGGTTCGATTCCCGGTCAGGGCACATGCCTGGGTTGCGGGCTCGATCAATGACTTGCTCATCATTGATGTTTCTATCTCTCTCTCTCCTTCTCCTTTCCTCTCTCTGAAATCAATAAAGATATATTTTTTTAAAAAACAACAACATTGTTTCATAGACTAAAACTTTAGTTTCTTAAATTAATATTATTCAAGCTAGATTCCAAAAATATCTGTATGGGTGCATACATTTTTTAAAAAATTGTAATCATGGAAGACAGAATCCTAATCTGAGTCTTGAGGAATGAGTGGGCTCAAGTAGGTGCTAAAGAGGGAGAAGGGTATTTCTGAGAGAGGAGGGACTTTGAGATCAAGGATGCACATGGTTCCTTTGGGGTACCCGGGAATTTGAAGGATATGTGTTTCAGGTTTTTAAATACTCCGTCCACCCTGTCCCTGATACCGGGGTAATTTGGGGAACACTCTTTTCTCTCTTTCCTCTATCGCTTCTCTTTTCCTGATGGGTACAGGAGCTGTATTAAGTCTTTTTGTTGAGCAGGTTTGTTGAAAGCCCTCTTGAAGAACCGTCTTCTAACCTCGATGTTTTTGATCAGTGTCTAACATAAAATCTTCTTTCTCTGACACAGTGTGAATTATGTTTCCTCAGGACTTTACTTCTGAGCAGTTAATGATTCTAGCAGAGACATGTAAAGGAAGGACCACCGCATCAGCCCCTGGGGTGTTTGCTAGGTGCTCAGGAAGCAGGTGGTCTGCCCAGGACTAGAACCTAAAGGGAAATGGGCTTTTTTTAATGTAACAGCCTAATCCTTCACCTGTACCTAGGGATTTGTTCTTCTCAAATATCACTGATGGCCTCTTGAGTTACTTTTTTCTTTTGAACAAAAACCATCCCAGATCAGTGGTCTTTGTTAACCTTCACTTTGCAGTACATGTTTGTTAGGTTTATTACTAAAACAGAGATTGTGTCTGTTAATTACATTAGGTCAGGCTGCACGGCTCTTTGTTCAAATGTGGGCCGACAAGGGCTTGGTCTTTTTAAACTTTCTTCAAGTAAAACTTTCCCTTTCTTTTTCCTTTGCAGATTCCAGCAACATTATGGCCGAGCATAGCCACGTGCAGCAACAGCTGGATTTACAGAATGGCAGTCTAGAGGCAAGATTTGCGGCGAATCCCCTCGAGAACGATTCCAAAAACATGATGGAGAACCTGAGCCCAAAGAAATACGCTTCCAGCCTGAGATTTAAAGCCAACGGAGACTATTCTGGCTCCTACTTGACCCTCTCACAACCTGTGCCTGCGAAGAGAAGCCCTTCCCCTTTGGGAACCAGCGTCCGAAGTAGTCCCTCCTTGGCCAAAATCCAGGGAAGCAAGCCATTCTCTTGCGATGGAACCGACAAGAGCATTTCCATGAAGCCCCCCGCCCCCTTACGCAGCACTTCCCCCTCCCTCGGTGGGTATTCCCGTGGAAGGGCCGACTTTGATCATTTCACTGGCCGGGACGGTGAACGGTCCCTGAGGCTCTCGGAGAAGCCTCCCTATTCCAAACACAGCTCGAGGAATAAATCCCACGACAACTTCTACTTTCTTGGAGGGCTGGAGAGCCGAAAGACGTCTGGCTCCCTGCTGGCCATGTGGAACGGGAGCTCCCTGAGCGACACCGGCCCCTCTCCGGCCAGCAGATCAGGGGCGGCCAGCATGCCTTCGAGCCCAAAGCAAGCCAGAAAAATGAGCATCCAGGACAGCCTGATGCTGCAGCCCAGGCTGGCGAGACCCAAGGAGGCGGCGTCGGAAAACATCAGCTTAAGAACTAGGAAGTATTCGGGCAGCAGCCTGAGTCACATGGGAGCCTACAGCCGCTCGCTGCCCAGGCTGCACCGGGCCACGGAGAACCAGCTCACGCCTCTCAGCTTGCCTCCGAGAAACTCTCTGGGCAACTCCAAGCGAAGCAAGCTGGGGGGAAAGGATCTACCTCATAGCATCATAGACAACGACAATTACCTGAATTTTTCCTCTTTGAGCTCAGGCGCTTTACCCTGTAAAACCTCTGTGTCCGAGGGCACCCCTTATGTCAGTTCCACCCTCAGTGTCCCCGGCAGTCCTCGCGTGGCTCGGAAGATGCTCCTGGCCTCCACCTCCTCCTGTACCTCCGATGACTTTGATAAGGCGTCCTACTCGGGGACCGGCTCGGCTCACTCCTTTCCTCCCCTGGAGCCAGACAGAGCGTTTGCGGCCAGGAGGAAGTTCTCGTGTGGATCTGTGGAGTTGGATGATGCCGATTTGGAGAGCCTCAGACAGGCCTCAGGGACCCCCCAGCCCGTCCACCGGGAGCGGAAAAGCAGCATCAGTTCCATCTCAGGACGCGACGACCTGATGGATTACCACCGGCGGCAGAGGGAGGAGCGGCTCAGGGAGCAGGAGATGGAGCGATTGGTAATCACCTGGTTTGACCTCACTGTCCCATTGAACAGCTTCTTGGAGACCAACTCCAAGGATTTCTCTGGGCGCGTAGAAATTCCATGGGCAACAGCCACTGATGCCCCTTCCTAGAATTTCTCCTGATCTCTCTCCTCTTCCCAGCTCACTGGTGCTAGTCACCTGTGGGTATTTAGAAGGCCCACATGTGCCGAATGTTACGTTAAGTTGCTCTGCAGAGTTCTCACAGGTATATATTCTTGAGAAACCTAACAAAGGTAGTTGTGAATTTTACTGAATTCCTTATGTCTTACCAACTTTTTCTTTAAGACTGTGAGGAAACGCCGATTTGTATTATGTGTCATCAAATTTGCATGTATCATAGAAATAATCAGTGAAACTATAATGTATCAGGGTTTAGGCAGGATTGTGGAAAATCGGAAGGTTGCCTAAATGGTGCTCGACCGTTTCTCCGCACTGTGCACCCACACGCAACCTCACAGTCCCTTCAGCCGTGTCTCTTAGCGCATGCCGTGACTCCCAGCTACGCATACGCAAAAATGTTTTGACTTGTCTTTCTCTATTTAAAATGGATTTATGCTTATTTTGGAAAATATTCCTTGAGAATTCCATAATGAATGAGAGCAAACTACTGCATTTTTCTATTCTCTCTTCTTTTAAGCATAAGGGTTTTTTTGTTTGTTTTGGTTTTGGTTATAGGCTGAATGGCTGTCACAGATTATGTTGATTCGTTAATGATGAATTACGTGTTTCTTTCATGGGGGAAACAGCAGGATGGTAAAGCTGGTTTACAAAAGTATAGGAGTAGCAAAAGTATTTTAGTTACTAAAAGAAAGCATGCTGGAATAAGATTTATGAATCACACACCGAACTAGTTAATGCCCTATAGGACAATACTATTGTAACCTTTGTACTGATTATAATGGACAGAAATCATTGACATCTATACAGGACAAAATTTGTTGGACATTTTAGCAAAAAAATAACTTAATTACTCATCAATTTGATAAGTTAATGTCTATTCCTACAGAGTTTCCAAATATCCTACTATGGACTAGTAAGAACATAAATGTGTGTAGCGTTAAAGAGTTCGATGTTCCGTGGGTGGATCTGTTAGAGGATGCTCCAGTATGACAGTTTCCTTTGTTATAATAATCTCCAGCGGTTTTTCATGGTCACAAAAGCATTGTATTTAGGCTTGATTCATTGGCATAAGTCAAGAAGAAGTTTTAAGTAACATATAAAAGCCTTATTGCATATGGATGGCAAACTTAGCACTATACTAGCTGAACAATCATTATTAGTGGAGTAGAAGAATTAACGTCTATCTGATCATTTATTAAGGAATCTAGGAGAGCAGTTCAGTGGTTTCCATCCCTCCAAAGGTCTTCCTCAAATGCTCTTGTTTACTCTTTTTGTTCCACAGATAGGAAACCAAACTTAAAATTCATTTCCACTGGTTTTCCTCTTCAGCACTTACAAGTGTTGGTGAGTTTCTCTTTTCTCTAGTGTCCCCACATCTGCTAAGGCTCCTGGCAATTCCAGAAGTGACCTTCCTTTTGGCCTGTAAAGTTGATGCCTTGTAAGCTACCAATAGGTCCGAGTTCAACTTCTTGGAAGAGCTTTGTGGGTATTGGCTCCAAATGTTAAAATAACTTTTTCCTTAATAATGGATTTGTCATATCTGTTGAAATGAGGCTTATTTTTAAATCTGACACTCTAGGTTTGGACTCTGTTGCATAGTTTATTTTTGATTACTTCCCAGTAAAACCGAGGACAGATTCTTATTGAGCTTCTGAAAGGAATGTTACTGCCATTAAAAAGTAAAGTGTCTTAGAAAAAATATTTCTTTCTGATTTCTGAGAGAACAAGCAGAACAAGCTACCATTAAAAGAATGTTTCATTTAATTTGCAAAATCATAGTCAACTAAATTGAAGGTTAGAGATACATCAAGTTAAAAGCTAAAGGGTTTTTCTATCAAAAAATAGAACATAATACCAATAATCTTCCAAAACATATTTACATTTAGAAATTAGATTTACTATACCAATTCCATCAGTTTTATGTAATCAATTCTTATTCCTCTCCATCTTGGGTTGTTAATTTAATTACACAAAGTCATCTATTTCTGGACTAAAAAAGTCCTGAAAATCTGATGTAGCTGCCTAGTACTGTCTCATACTTGTCTACATAATATCAGCTCAGAAGCCTCTACCCATAAGTCTATTTTTTGAACTCTCAAGGGTGAAGAGTATCTGGTAAAGTTCTTTCCATGAGGCTCTGAGACTCTTTGGTAAAAGCACATTCTAGTCTAGAACGTAAGCAGAGTCTTTAGGTAAGCATGAGAGAAAAGCAGAGACTACTGGTGAGGTTAAGAGCAAGTGACCATGGTTAATCTATGGATAACTTAACAAACAGTATCAACTAGGAGAGTTAAATTTTTCTGTCAGGGTCTTACTTAGTCAGTGTTTCCTCTGAGGGCAAGAATGTATCACAGAGAATGAGGACTTTGACATATATCCAGGGTCTTTCTGTAAGTATGCATCTCTGAGCTTTATTTATATTATAATATTTTACCTGTTCAAAATTAGCCTGGGAAAGGCTGAGCTTCTCATTTGACTTGACAAATCTTCCTGTGCAATTCTTGATAGTGTTGACCTATTTATAATTAAGGGGCATAGCAAACAAACTTATTTCTAGTATTTGTGGTTTTTTTTTGTAAGATTAAGGAATGAATCTTGTGATTGTCCAGGAGTCTTCTGGGAAAATTTAAAGATAGTTCAGGTATAAAAGATATCTTGGAAAAAACGTTTTTCTAAATTTAGGGTCTGATCTTGGGAAGGCAAAATCAAATATTAACCAGAGATTTTATCACTTGAGTAATATAGGATTGTCTATGCCTGTGAACAATGACTGTTTGCAGTTTGGTTACCTAATAATTAAGTGACAATAGGTTATTTTATAATAAACAAGAAATCTTAAGTCACTTAGAAATGAGAAAGTTTTTTTTCATTTTAAATATGCAAGAATATATCCCAGTTAGCACAAGGCACACAAAGTTACTCCTGCGAGATACTGAAATTCTTCTTTCTGGGCAGATTACATAGAAAAATAAACTTAAACTGCCTTTTGTAAGCATAGGCTGATTTCTCCAAGATCAGTGTGTCATTTCAGTAGAGATAACTGCATTTTAGTTTTACATTAATAGGGCACTTGTCGTGCGTTACATTTTTTTAAAAAATTGCTTCATAAATAAACCTATCAAAGTTTTATAAACTTTGCCAAAATTTTAACATTTTATTATGTCATTATAGACTTAATTCTTTGCACATATTATAAACCAAGTCAAATAAAGCTCCATTTCTGCAAACCTAGAATTTTTAACTTTTCATCAACTTTTGTTCTTCACGGTTTTCTTTCACATTTTGGAACAACCAGACACTTTAAGACAAAGGTACTTAACTTAAAGATGTTGGAAATTATGTTTAAGCTGACACATCACAGAACATGATTGATATAAAAGGTTGGTTACCATTATAATTTTGTTCAGTTGAGCACAAATTTTATATTTTCCATAATCGTAAGCATCATATGAAAGTAATCTTAGCTTATCTCTGAAGTAAACTAATATGACATTTAAGAAGTTCAGATAAACTAATCCCTTTATGATAAACCCAATCAACTTATTTTAAAATGAAATTACACTTTTATTATACTATACACTGATAAAATAAGGCAAAGACATAGAGCTATTTTTAAAATAAGATTATCAAATCAGTCTGACTTGTATAAGCATTCACTTTAATCATGTAAACTTGTATTCTAAGGGAAAAAATGCTTATGAAGTCAACAGTTTTGATGAGAAAGGTCTTTTTCTAAAAGAGGAACACATTAAAATTATTTGAATTTTATTTTCTAGAATTTGGGAAATGTTAGATTTCTTTAAGAGCTATTAGTCTCTATAAACTAATCAGAAGCAGAAATCCTTTATTTTAATTTATTATTATTCTTCTCAGGAGGTAGAAAAATATTTTACCCCCACACAGTGATTTTTCCCCCATCAGGTATAGAGACACAGACATTAAAAACAGCAAAAGTTCAATGGCCTCAGCTACAGATCAAAAGTAAACACTGGAACAAGACTGGTGGCTTCTCCACTGGGCACAAAATTGTCCTGATTTGAACTCACAGATAGGAAAACAACAAACAAATTAGAGCCAACAACAAACAAATGTCCAGTCATCCTTCACCTGAGCAAGACTAGATTCCAGTTCTGCCAGACAGATCACCAAGTGGTCAGACCCTAAAACCAGAGCCCCAGTCATTGCTGCCACCAACGGGGATAATAACTGTCGGTTGTGTGCGAACCCAAACCCCGATCAGACTTGGCTGAGAATCAGAAACAAAAACAAAAGCACAGGATAGGAAAACAAAACCTTCAGAGAATATCGAGTCAGTGAAGGTCAAGTTCTACTGCCATTTGGGATTTGCTGCAGGAGCCAAGAAAAGCTGTGCCTGGGCTTCCAGCCCATGAGGTAAGCTTCGTGAGCGATGCAGTCCACTTGGACAGTTCACTGGGACCTCCAAATTGTCAAAGCATAATTTAAAAAAAAATAAACACAAATACAGAATGAGTAGATGCAAAGATTTATTGAACTCATTAATGAGGAAACCAAGCAGCATACAGCCGGTTCACGAAGCATGATTTCAGTATTTTTTGGCTTAACTTTGATTATAGCAGTGTTTCATCTGTTTTTCTTTTTTCTTTACTTGTCCAATCTTTATTTGAAAACTCAAAGTAATTATATTGAGTTTTAAAGATTGAACCCTAATTATGAACCTCCAAGGACCTATTAATGAAGCATAATAATTTTCTTGGAGCCTACATTAAATAGCTTCCAACTGCTATGCTATGTGAAATGTTTGATTTTTTACAATTTTTCTTCCTCCTTTCTTGCTCTCAGCTGCCAAACCTTGCTTTTATTGTGCCAGCCTT